CCGAGGCGCAGCTTCAAGAGGCCCTGCTGTTGGAGGGAAATTCAGGGTTGTCCTAGGGTTTTCACTAGGTCACTAGGGTTTTCCTGGGGTTTTTTCATAGGGTTTTCATAAGGTTTCATAGGTTTTAGGGGTTTCATAGGGTCTCAGGATGGTGCCAGGATGTTTCAGGAGTCAGGGCTTCAAGGGTTTTCTTCAGTTTGGAGCTTCAGGGAGTGGGGGTTTGGGGTTCAGCCGGAGCATGACCGCTTTTCCATCAGCTCTACAAGAAGGTTTGATGGCTGCTCACGAGATCTCGGTAGAACGTCGTCCTTCCAGCCCTTTCAGCGTCCCGATTCCTTGCCCGCAAAAGGATCCTTGCCCCTCTGCTTTCTTAACTCTTAGAGTCCCCCTTTTGTGACCCTGGCTCTCAGGGTGAGATCTACCTTCAGAAGACCGGGCGCCGCCACTGGGCTGCAAGAGGAGTTCCGAGGAGGGAGCTTCTATATGCCGTGCTGCCCGCGGCTGCTACGTCTCCGAAGCTCTGTTGTTTCCCTCTTTTCTTTTCGCGAGTTCTCAGCCCAAAATCCCCCCACCCTCGGGTGTGGGGTTGTTATAGTTTTGTAAAGTCAGCTACTACTACCGCCTGCTCCTCGCCCGCTGAGACTACCTCCAGAGACTGCCTAGAGTGCCCAACCCCAGAGACTACCGCGAGTCTCTCTGGCGCGCCAGCCAGCAGTGTGCCTACCCTCGTCGTCGAATGGCCTGAATCGAAAACTTTACGTGTGACCCCACAACCGTAACGCCTGTAGGGTGGGGATGCTCGAAGTAAAACAGGTTTTGCTGTTTTTTATGGTGTTGTTTGAGCTCATTCGAGCTTCCAGGACCGACGATGATGAGGCCGAGATCAGTGCAAGACTTCACCCTGGACGGGCCCGTCCGCGGCGAGCTGCGGGATGTCATCGACCACTGGTCCGAGGTGCGGGGAGCTTCTTGAGTCCCCTCCAGAAGTCCTCCACAGAAGTCCATCTCGTTTTTCTTTCCTTTTCTCCCAGCTTCCAGTTGAGATGCACGAGGTGCTGCAAACCGAGCGCTCCGCCCTGCTGGCCTCTGCCTGAGACGCAGAGGTTTCTGAAATCGAAGTGAGTTGGGGCCGTCCTTTAATTCTTCCGAGGCGGAGCAGCGCCGCCTCGGATTGAAAGACGCTGCGGAGCCGGATTTCATCCGAGTGCCCTTGCTCAAGATCTGAGAACTGCCTCCGGTAGAATTTGCTGCGATGGGGGTTTTGAGGCTTACTGCACCAGCGCCTTTGTGACCTTCTGGAGCCGAAGAGATGCAGAGATCGCTTTGAGGGTTCAGTACCGTGCGGATGGGCTGCAGTTCTTGGTCTCGAGCGCTCCAGCTCCGGACGATGTCAGGCATCAGGATCTGCAGAGCCTCGCACGGATGTGACAGGTGTGATCTGATAGGATAGGATTATGGATGTATGATGATGTTTTGTGTGACGTAGCTAGAGAGCTTCGCCCCCAAGCGTCCGCGAGAGCTGCCGCAACAGCGCAAGGAAGGGCGGTGCCGTCTGGGGAGATATGCTCATGGGCTACCTGTGCATTCTCTTCCTTTTCTGGGTCTTCGCGCCCTTCATCGTGGCCTTCTCTGCCGTGGCGCAGCTGGAGACCTTGGAGACCGTGGTGACCCGGTCATCAAAAATGCAAGACAGGGGGCCCAAGTTTACGGATGGCAAAGTGGGATCTGGAGCGGCAAACCCTAAAACCAAACCCCTAAACCCAAAAAGAAAAGCCGGGTTTTCGGGGCCGTTGCGGGCGCTGCAGGTCCCAAGCCTTCACCACATCGTGACCTACTGGCCGATCTTTCGCTCCCTTTGGGACGGCCTGGCCAGTGCTTTCGCCCTCTCCCTCTTCATGAGACGCTCAGCTCGGGGGTTGTTTTGCCGGCCAGCTCTCCTCTTCTGGCTCTTTTGGGGTTTAGGGTTTAGGGCCCTCAAACCAAACTAAATCCTCTCCTTCCTTACGGAGCTAACTTCTTCCTTCCCCCCCGGCCTTTCCTAAAGAGGCTGCCTGCCCTTCTGCCTCTACGTCGTCTGCAGCCGGCTCTTCGTCACGAAGTCGGAGAGGCGCTGTCAGCTCCAGGTTCAGAGCTGGTACTTCTTCTTCCTCACCGTCTTCGTGCCCTGGGCGGCAAAGAGAGAGGGGGAGACAGGAGACAGAAGGGTTTATGGGGTTTATGGGGTTTATAAGGGCTTATAGGGTTTAGGGGGTTTAGGGGGTTTTGGGTTAGGGGTTTTAGGCCCAGGGCCTGGCGCAAATTTAGCTCAGGTGCTGCTGGTGCCGGCGGTGGGCTCCTCCGTCTTCTACACGATGAGCCGCCTGGTGGATCATCCGAAGGCACAGAAAGGGGGGACCCCCCCTCGCGCAGCTCCTTAGGCTTCTCCCTCTCTGAATGTCTCTCTCTCTCTGTGTCAGGAGATCTTCTCGCTCCTGGCTTCCACCTTGCCATATTCCACGCACTTCTACCTGAGCTACTTCCCGCTTCAGTGGACATTTCAGGCCGAATAAAAAAGCCCTCCGAGGATGTTAGACCTTGGCGTCCCAGTCCCTTTCTCTCGTCTGCTTTGAAGGTTCTGGAGGCTGCCCGCTACCCCATCGCAATGAAGTACCTGGCGATGAAGGCCCCGTCTGCAGATGCAGAAAGAGTGAGGAGAGTTCGGGCGATGTCCAAGCTTCCCTTTCCCAGAAGTGCCGCGCCATCATCTTGCATCTCTCGCTACATCCTGCGAATTTTTTCTAAGGCTCAAAAAATATGCTGGTTTTTTCGGGGGCCCTTGGGGTCGAGCTCGAGTCGCGGAGGCCCTCTACGGCGAAGATCAAGCCAAGACGCTCTGCGAACCGGAGGACCAGGCCTACTATGGCATAGGCAGGGGCCTCCTCTGTGCCTTTGTTTTGGGAGAAGAGGGGTTTGGGGGGGGGTGCTTGGCAGGCGCTCGGTCCGCGCGGTGCTCCTTGCTGCTGTCGATGGCCCTGACCTTCTGCAGCCTGTCGCCCTTGATCTGCGCCTTGGGCCTCGCCACCTTCGGCCTCTGCCGGCTCACCTACGGCGGGGTGGGGGGGGGGGCAAGCTGATTAGGCTTTTGTCCGGCCCTGCCCAGCCTTTCCAGCGCAGGGTATCTGCTGGTCTACTCCGAGACGACGAAGCCGGACCTTGGGGGCGAATTCTGGTGCTTGCAGCTGCAGCACCTTCAGAAGGGCTTGTTCCTCTACGCAGCTCTGGCCTTTTCAGAGCCTCCAAAAGAAACCTCCCGTGTCTGCAGCTCCTGGAGCAGAGTGAACTCTGAGCTCTGAAAGCCTTTGCAAAAGGTAGCTTTGATGACCAGCGTGCTGCTCGAGAGGCCGGGGGCCCCCAGCCCGAAAACCTTAGTAAGCCTCCTCCTCTCCTTGGCGCCTCCCCTCCGTCTTTGCCCTCTTCATCTTTGGAGGTCGGACTCCTTGGGCCCTCCGGGGATCGCTGCCGGCGCCGGCGCCGCCTGGCAAGAAAAGCAGAGCTTGACCTTGGCTTGGGTTTGGGGGCGCCTGAAAGCAGGATAGTAGCAGCCAATCTCAAGGCCTGTAAGGCCTCAAGTTTGGGGGGTAATGTGCCTTCTGGAGATGATTCATGCTGAATCATGCTCCTCGAGCTCGGGGGTGATGATGCAGATGGCGAGGGGGTTGTGACAGGTCTTGCTCCTTCAGCAGTACCTCCAGTTCAAAAGGAAGTATCAGTGGCGATGCCTTCCCTTTGAGGTGCGGCGCCGGGGGGGTCCGGAGTGCGGGCGAGAGAACTATATACCCCCCCCCCCCTCCCGCTACCGTCAGGACCTCGTCCACGTGGATGATGACAGGGCCTCCGTTGCGGTGACCGGCGTGGAGTACCAGCAGCCGGAGTTGCGGGAGACCTAAGCCCCCAAAACATAGAGCCCCGCAGATCTCGGCTCCACGACGAGACCATAAAGGCCCCGGAAAAAGGAAGGGGGGAAGGGCCGAGCCGAAGGCCCTGGAGGGCGGCCGAAGAGCAGACCGGAAGAGGCAGGAAAGAAGAGACTTTCTGGGCCTCGCAGAAAGAAGACAAAAAGGGGCCTGAGAGATCCGCGGATCTCCCCCGCGGCACTGCCGTCGGGGCCTTCCGAACGACGTCGACTACTTTGCAAAGGAGCGGGCGCTGTGAAGGCGAAGGACAGCGGTCTCACCTTCAGCTGCTGGGCTTGGAGTCGTTGCAGCCATGCAGACTGAAAAGAGGGAGGGGGGGGTCCTCTCTCCCGCAGAGAAGCTGCGCCCTGCGAGATCTGAATCTGCAAGATCTGTGCGCTCTTTCGCATGAGGACGTGGCCTCCGTGCAGGCTGCTTAGAGTCTGAAAAGCGAGAAAAAGGCAGAAGGTTGGGACCCAGAGCTGCCCTTCTGAGGCCTCTCCGGGAAAAGGCCGCCGCGAGCGGAAAGCACTCGGTGCCCTCGGCCTCCAAGCCGAGCCTGCCCAAAAAGAGCAGCCTGGGCAGCGGGCCGCTTTTGGGCAGCCGCTCGGCGCCCTCGCTGGCGCCCGCCGGGCCCGCCGGGCCCTTCAGCGTCTTCTTTTTCCACACTTTCCAAAGACTGCACTGAAGGAGCCGGCGGAGCACGGCGAAAAGAGGCGGAACCGCGAGAAGGGAGGCGGAGGCTCCAAGGAGGCTTTGCTCCCGGCCTTCGACCGACTCTCGCTTCGCCGGAACCTCGACAGCGCGCGCGCGGGGAGGGGAGGGGGGTAAGCGCTGCTCGGTGTTCTCCTCCCTTCCAGCCCTTGCAGCATCCCAGGCCGTCGGCAAAAGCTCGAGGCCTTGCTGTGCGCAGCTCAGGTCAGAAGTGAAGGACCCCCCCCTCTCCCCGCGCAGCTTTGCGGCTCCCAAGCACAGTCGCCCTTAAGTTTCAATCTTCCAGGGACGAGGAGCATGTTCCTTGCATCCTGCGTGTCGAGCTCCGGAAACAGCCCGTTGAAAGCATCAAGATCCAAGCCCTGAAACCCACGAAATGAGCCCAAGACCACAACTTTGCGAAGCCTCTGAAACCCTAAGCCTAGACCGCCTAAACCTAAAACCACCTCAACCCGAATCCCCAGACCCAAAGCATTTCCTGGCATTCCTTGGAGCTTCGGAGTCCGAGGCAGCGTGCTGGAGGCGAGTTGCCACAGCCGGATACCTGGAAGACTGAGAGCATGATTGTCCGCTTTTGTCCGGGGCGATACTGTGAAGTCTGCTGAAGGCATGGACATGCGGCTGCTCATATTCACAGACTTCAACCACACCATAATGCTAGATTCTACCTGGTAGATTCTCTCGTGACCATGAGCTCATATGGCAGTACACATACTGTAGACTCCGTTGCCAGATTCAGTGGCATCAGCAACCAGGACATAGATCTCCGTGAGCTCAATCCAGCTCACAAAAAAAAAGATGTAGCCGATGTCGTCGTCATGGACCTCTGATTGCCATCGGGGCTCCGAGCCACCGTGGGAACTGGTCCTCGTCTTCTTTCACATGCCGGAGCAGATTGTCATCCTTCAATGGAAAGGTTTTCCCCCAGATGAAGCCCCTTGTTTTCAAAGTATGTTCAGAGAATCTGCTGAGAGATCTGCTCGGCTTGTCTTCTAGGCTGCTAGCGTTGGCTGCTCCTCGAAGTCCGCCATCTCCACCCCTCCCCTGCTGAACGATGCAGCGACCTTCCCAACACCTGCAGTCGGACACTGTCCGCCTGTATGTTGCCGCCGTAGCTTTGCCGCTCAGTAGTTCTCCCCTTCTCCTCGTGGCAAACACCTCTGCTGTCCATGCTGTGTCCTTCAGCGTGGTTCAAAGACAGCGCAGTATCAGCCAGCCCTTGGCTAGCTCCAAGTACGGGCCAGATGTCCGGAGTCCAGGCTGTCCACAAAATCTGTTCTTTTCGACGTAATCCAGGAGGTCGTAAACGAGGAACGCTACGATCGCTGCACTGTCGCTGAGTCTCGTTGAGCTTCGCTCTTTTACCCGCCTTGCTCCTCTCCGGAGGTCGAAGACTGCTCTCCTTCATCTCGAGAGAGCCCCGTGATCGTATCTTAGGGTTGAGGCTGTTGTATGCATCGTCCTGGTGCACAAACTCACTATGCCCCCCCCCCGCGCCCGACCCCCAACTGCCTTCACCAGCAGGCTTTTTTCTGGACCGCCGGCTTGGTGTGTCCTCTCTCTTCTCCTGTTTTTTTGGCATAGAAGCCGCCTCCTCCAACATAGGATTCCTTGGAATCTTGGAGAGCACCTCCGTCTCTGCTTCCTTTAAACACGTCCTGTCTGAGAGCACCTCGAAGAGTTCCTCGCCTCCGCCGATGTAGACCCTTGAACTCCGAAAGTTGGAGGCAGCAGGGCTCTGGCTCCGCATGGCTCCGCATGGCTCCGCATGGCTCCGCATGGCTCCGCATGGCTCCGCATGGCTCCGCATGGCTCCGCATGCTGCGGCTGTGTCAGCATCATGTGCAACTCGCTCAGGGTCTCCTCTTTTGCTGCATCGTCTTTGCACAGGAGCTTGGTCGTCTTTTGCAAGTACACTGGAGGAAGCCTTGCTTCAATCCCTTTTTTTTGGAAGGTCTCCCATTGCTCCGGTGTTGCTGCTAACTGTGCGTCCGTCTTGCGACTCTTAGCCTCCAGCTTCCTCACGACATTGATAGCCCTCTGAATGGACTTGACGAAATCTCCTCGTTCGTGATCTGGGGCTGTCCGCATCGCAGCACGGTTCTTGTCCACACCAGGAGTGCCACGTTGATGATGCCACGTGTCGTCCCATTGTGCGTAGTGGGGGATGTGGTGAGACACCAGCAGTTCGATGTCTTTGAAGGGCCTTGGGAGTGGATTCTTTGTCGAGCCCCCTCGCCCTTTTCAGCCGCAAGCGTCGATGGGCTGGTGAACGGGGCTCAATCGATGCCTACCTACCTACCTACCTACCTACCTACCTACCTACCTACCTACCTACCTACCTACTTAGCTAGCTAGCTAGCTAGCTAGCTAGCTAGCTAGCTAGCTAGCTGCCTACCTACCAACACGCACACTTGCTCACTTGCTCGGTTACTTACCTGGTTGCTCTGTTGCTTACACATGCATGCACGCTTATATACTATACATACGCACGTATATATACATGCACACGTACATCATGGAGTTGCAGACGAGTGCTGCCTTGCATAGTTGCTCCATTGCAACGGCAACCTTTCAGGCTCCAGCCTCTCCAGTGCTTTGTGTAATTTGAGTGAGGGTTGTGCCTGGGCGCAGGGTTGCCTCGTTTTCGGATTTGAGGTGCGTTTTGGTGTTCAGAACGTCTTACAACAGCTACAAAGAGCATGACCATCAGCACCGATCGCCGCTTCTACGACACGAGCTACAGAATTCCGGAAGCACATCGCCACAAGCTGATGAGCATCTTGATATCTCCTTTTTCCGCTGTTTCGTGGTGCCTTTGTCTCAGCCATGGGTGGCAGGATGACCGTGTTCCTTTGAGGCCGCAAAAATATCCGAAACCTTCTGTGAGCCGTCGCCCCGCCCAATTCTGCGAGGCATGGGCTGCGGGGCCTCCACTAGGCAGAAGGACCCGGTTTCTCATAGACGTGTCTTAAGACTTTGTTTTGTGGGTTTCTGAAGGGCTTGGGGTCTGGGCTTGTCATTGCGCCGCAGTTAGGACGATCGCCAAGCGTTTCTCATCGTTCCCCAGGCCCAGATGCTGTCGATGACCGCAAAAATTGCGAGATGTGCCCTCTCTTCCGTCTGCATCCGTCAGGTGTCGGAATTCAGTGCTGCTCGGATCCCAGAACTCCCAGAGCTGGGAGGGCCGGGCTGAAAGCAGAAGCGTTTATCTCAGGATGAAGACGAACCCGAGCCTCCACGAGACATCCGGGACTTCTATGTGCACTTTGGCTCAGAAGATGGGGTTACAGCAAGAGGCAGGGCAACCACAAGGGACCACAAGGGACCAAGCATTTCCTGGGATCTGCCATGATGCCCCAGAAGTGTAGAGGATCGGATCACGAAGCAGAAGCATGGCAGCCACCACCAAGTACTACCGCCACCCACCACCCAGGCTTGGCGAAGTGCTGGGTATCCTCGGCTGCACTTCTCTTTCGTTTCAACATTCGATGTAGAGCACTTGATTCTTCCGTCCGGCGGATGCGGTTCTGACGTCGCCTCCCACGTCTTGTCAAGGCCTTCGTGAAAAGGAAGTGTTAGATTCAGGCCCAACACCCAAACCCCACAAAACCCCACAAAACCCCCCAAAACCCCACAACACCCCACAAACCTCAAAACCCCCTGAACCCGAGCCCTGGGACCCCGTGATGTGACTTTCTCTGCGTCGCCTCCTCTCCCTCCGAGGAAGCGGCGCCTTCGGACAAGTCCGCAGCGCCTGCTTGATTCAGGCGCTTCCGTTCTCTCGTAGAGCCCAACCATACCCTAAACCCCAAACCCTCAACCAATCCCAAGGCCACCTTGGCCTTAAAAACCGAGACTCTCGTACGAACAAGCCATCCCAGACTCGGATCCAGCGGGAATGCGCAACCTCAGTCATGTGGATCCCCCCGACACACCCCCATCCCCCCGCCCCTTAAAAAAAGCAGCAGGCCCCCTATTTGTAACCCCTTTTTTCCTGCCTTGAGCCCGGACACTCTGAAGCCCGAAAAAAACTGAGCTCTGCTAAGCTTTTCTGTGCAGGATCCGAGCCAGCTACGAGCTGTCAAGGTTTTAGAGAAGGACGGTTTAGGGCTGCTTGGGGTTTTTGGGGTGCTAGGGTTGAGGGGTGGATTAGGGCTTTAGGGGGTTTAGGCCAAGGTTCGGGGCTTTGAGGGTGTGAGGATAAGAGGATCGAAGCTTCGCGACGCGCTTGCATGCAATGAGTAGCCAGGCTGCTAGAATCACACCGAACCCGCCAC